GGTGTACAACTCTCAATCAATGAGCGAAATGTGTTGCAGGCAGTTGCACGGCCTTCGCCGCCGAGGAAACTCTCTGCAGTCGTTACGACTGCTTCAGCTACCGAAACATTGCAGCCGCTGCAACAATGGCTGGCGAAAGGCGGTGCATTTCTGATGAATTCTGTGGCTACCATCCACAGTCCACCCTCTGGGGTGTGGTGCGCAATCCACTGGTTTCAGCGTGGGCATGAACCTCGATGCCCACAACCTGGATTTCAGAACCTATTGAAGCTCTACATTGAAAGCCGTCCAGTCATGCGTGATCTGTTTGTGCTTGCTACAAATCAACGATTCCAGCGAAGGCCAGCTAGATCCCTGAGGGCGCCCAACAAATGAGTCAGTCTTCTGTTGACAGCAGCTAGATGCGTAAACTCGGCTGGACTAGGACATGTGCTCTAGATCTTGGGATGCAACAGTCCAAATGTCGCTGTGCTTTGCGAAGTGGAACGCTGCGGCGCACCAAAAAAACGGCGCACGCTCACACTCAGCTTCCCTTGTTGCTTTCCATCTGCAATTGACCATCCGGGAGTCATGCAACCAAACCTGCTCAGAGTGGATACGTGCGGCGGCAAGCTTTGGGCTTCGGCGTCATGTCCTGCCTGCGAGCCCGGACTTCCTGTTTCAGCAGCTCTTCGTGCCCGGGAATGATGGCGAGAACGTGCTCTAACCTTAGTGTCGTTTCCAGCCCGAGACTTGCGACGTTTTACGTCTTCAGACAGCCATTCAAGAACCTGAGGCATGTGGGTTGAACCAATCTCTGGACAACCCTTGTAGCCTTCTACCCTAAATAGCGATGTTGCTTTCCTCTGTATCGATTTCCAGCGTTCTGCGCAAAACTCACTTTGGCAGCTCCTGCTCGAACATCGCAACTTGCTTTGGCTCCCGGTGTGGCTATCAGTCCAGGCCCTGCAAATTTCTGATTCCACAATCTCGGTTTGCGCAAAACAATTTATGTGTCTTCATGGCTTCTACTGTTTTTTCCCTGCGTGTCGGTTGCAGGTTGTACGGAACCTGAACAAGTTGACTGACGGGCTTCCCACACAGAAAATGTGTTTTATTTTGCGCGGCCCATGTGGGTTACATATATGTATATATGCATATACGACATACGGACGGGCCTTCCCATAACGACAAGGGCTTTATTTTGTGCGACCCCTGCGGGTATACGTATATGAATATACAGAAAGGAAAGCTATAAAGGAAGGCTCAACATGGCTCAACAGAAAATATATAATGCTTTCATATGTCATTGAATTGCAAGATACAGTTATGCAAAACTTCCGCGGAAGAAAAACACATCGCAACTCCATCGCGAATCTTTCGCGGAGGTACATCGATGGTCAACGAATACTACTTTGGATGGATGAAATCCTACACCAACTAAGAAACCTTGGCTGTAACCAAAACTTGTTGTGAACAGCTCTGCGGCCGCAGTTGAAATCAACCAATGTGGCACGCCAACACAAAGCACCCCATCTCTTTTTTGGCGTCTTGCCTCAGAACTTCTTATCAACAACATGAAATGGTTTCTGACCTGCTTTTAACTTGCGGAATTGCCTTTTCAGAGCTCACCGAAAAGAGCACACACAAAGAGTAGCCCATCCTTGGGCCAAACCCCTACTCACGTTCTTCGTTGGGCGGGGGCTGTGTTGCCTTGGAGCTCCAAGGACAAGCGACGGTTGGGAAGCTGACCAAAGCCCGGCCGTGCATCTTTGAAGGGCCTGATCCCTGACAATGCCCTGACCCAGCTGGCTTTTCCAGAGACTAACACAAATAAGTTCAGGTGATACCAGGCGGCGCTCTTTCCCGGCCATCAAATTAAAGCGCTGGCGCGCCGCCGGTTTTGCTTTCGATGCCGCCTTTGCCGTAAGGGGCTGGTGGGGCGTGTCGGGACGCATTTGCCGCCTGCCTGGCCTGCGCCAGCACAGCCTGACCACCGGAACCTGAAATTTGGCTGGCCGCGCCTCAACCACTTGGCCTGCACCAGCGGACCCAGAATTTTACCTGGCTAGATTGGGCCCGGAACCCCTGGAACCTTGCGAGCTTGAACCTGACTCCACACCTTTTAAGAATCACCCCCAAAACTCGTCGGAGCTGAGACCCCTTAGCTGTCAGCCGTTTGGGAACAACTTGACGCTATCCAAAATTAGATCATGCTTGCTTCTTAGCTTTCAAATTCATGAGCGGCTGTGCGAGCTGTTTCTATCGGCTCCAATAATCTTACTTATATCTACGCGTAATAATATATATATATATATCAGTGTATACTTATACATATATATATATATATATGCGTGTATATATATATATATATATTTACGTAGCTGATACGTTTCTTACTCTCCAGTCTTTAGCCGAGGTGCTTTTGGAGGTGCTTTGCGTGCGTCTCAGCATGAGGTTGCATCATGGGATCATCTGTCGAAGGTGCGAAGGTCATCGAGTTGAAGGACTGCGTAGATTCCTCTGAACGCCATGCAGCGTTTAACTAACGGTGTAGTGGAAGCTACCAAGCCCAAAAAAACTAAGGGGATGGCTGGGAACTATTGAGTTTTACCAGGAAAACCAAGAGCAAGACCGAAACCGGGTGTTTGGTTCAACCCAAACAGAACACACCCCGCTTGTAAAAAATCGACAGTGTGGCAATTAGCATCTTTATTGGCACAAGCCCCTCTCCATGAAAATCCAATTGCCCCATATAATATGTTGCCGTGCCACCATAAACTTCGGGTCAGAATCATGGATTCCTCACATCCTAATGGAGCTTCCAAACCTTGAAGGTTGACCTCAGTTTAGTGCAAGCTTGCTGGTCATGCGCCAACAACAACAGGATATTTCGTGGTCATGGCCATCGAATAAGGAGTCAAACCCGTGGCGCGGAGCCGAGACACTTCGTAGTCGATGGACCGCTGGCAACGTCGCCGCCCTTGCCGGTCCTCGTCAAAGCCCGGCGTCTGGGCCGAAAATGGCCGATGATTTTCAACCTAAGAGCAAATCCAAGGGGGCTAAGTCATTGGACGGTGGCAGGCTGCAAGACCCAGGCTTGATGAAACGCGCACACCTGAGTAGCATCAATGCGTCCAGCGCATGCCCAGCAAGCTCCTTGAGGAGGACGAGGCGGTCACAGTCGCAGCCTTGCTGTCAGTTTGCTGAAACATGTCTGGGTCACCAAGCATTGCTCAACACTACCAGTCTTAAAAAAACAACAAGGCGGACGCGACCGAGACACCAAACACAAGCAGCAACTTGTTTAACCACTGTTTCCGTGGTCTCTCTCCCTCTGGATGCGGGAAGGAATGCCATGCACTAAACAACTTTACTGGACTTTTCCGCCGCGTCGCGCGCGATGGGCCGCAAGGCAGAACGAGCCCTCCGCACTTTGGAATCTCACAGCCAACTGGGCCAGGCTACGACTCTGGGTTCTCATGGCCCATTGCATTGCCCGCGCCCCCAGCCTGAAGTAGGCATGATGTGTTGGACAGGACTGGTGCTAGCGCCGCAGCCCATCTCCTCGGGTCACTGGAAATCGCGACGCGCGTTTGCCGTTCAAGCATGCGCAAGTCGCACGGTGCGTTGCCTGGGGTGGATCGAGGTATTTCTGAAGAATGTGCCGAGGCCTGAGGCTCCAGCACTCGATGCGAAAAGAATTCTCAAAACCTATGATGATAAACTTGGAGCGGCGGATAGCGGCAGACTGTCCTTTCGTTCGCAAGGCCATCACTCCAAAACGATAAAGCACATGCAGAAGCTTAAGTTTAAACCCCAAAAAACCCGGCACCACCAAGAGTCCCAACACGAATCCCGCAGTATGTGCCCAGGTTACGTTGAGCCGCGAGTCTGGCGAATAAAAGTCTCGCTTTCTTATTGTTGCTGGGCACTCAGAGTTCCATTCCCAGCCTCCAACTCCATCCTCCGAGGCGGCCTGGTGTGTCACGAAGAACCGGTGCTCAGGCTCTATGCCAAAAATAAAACTTCTGCAAGTTCGAGGTAGGAATCCATCCCTGAACTTGGCTTCCATTCAAATGGAGCATAAAAGCCAGGGGACAACTAAGGAGTGGTTCGGAATGAGGAACTGGAGCATTGACATGAAGGAACTTGTCCAAGAGTTTATGGATCCTGCTTGGGTTAAAGCGCCGCCAACGAAGACAAAACAAGCTTGTCGTCGCCTGCACGACTGTTTCATCCATCCTCACTCATTGTTTTAGTTCAAAACTACTACACATGAGTATGTTTGGATAATTACACGCAGAATAGCCAGGCATCCATGGTTCATCTAATGTCTATGCTGCTGTTCTGCTTTAATAGTTTGATACATATGCATACAGTAATGATTAACTTTTATCTTGTTGCTTTCTGTACTTAAACCAAGTAATATCATTATGTTTTGAGATATTATCGACAAACATACGTTGCGTGAATACATTGAGATGCTCCATTCTATCTTTTCCAAACATCAGGTTTGTATTTTCTATCAGAGTAATATTCATAATCTAGTAATATCCTGCTGGTATCATGATGCCCTTAGTACAATTCATGGTTTAACGGTTTGTCACCATGAAATATAAATATACATGCGCGTTTCCTATGTGCAACAGTCAATGTTTTGTAAGTGCGTTCCTTTTCCGATTCAACATGACATTTCAACTCAACCAAAAACAATGTAATAAGCTTGCATTTCGTTCAATTCTGTAAATATACATCACCTTCTGTATACATGTATACAACATGTTCATGTAAATACATTTTTAGCGAGAGAGACACAACGCATGAATTATCATTGGTCATGACACCACACTTGAGTTACTACGCCTGCGGCTGCGTTGAAGCGACTGAAACTTGCGTCCCCTTGTTCCCCCGAACATCAAACACGCCATCAACAATACGGGTGTATCGCAAAATCCGAGGGCCCAAAAATATGTTTGTTCCCATTTTGGCTTCCCTAAACAAGAGAGGTCAGCGCTCGTGCATCCGCAGCATGCTGCCTGTGGCTTGATCAAGCGCATGCGCGCGCTCAAACACGCGTTTCTGACCCTCAAACATACATGCGCGCCTGCGGAACACACTGCAAATGAATTCGTCCACCCAGGGAGCCGTGCCAGTCATCCAGGCTGGGAGACAACCGGGGACAAAAAGAGACAAATGAATCCGTCCACCCACAGAGCCGCGCCAGGCATCCAGGCTGGGAGACAACAAGAAGGACACAAAGGGCGGCAAATGAACCCGTCCGCGCGGAGAGCAGACATCCAAGCTGGGGAGAAAAACGAATCCGTCCACCCAGAGAGCCGTGACGTCTAGGCTGGAAGACAACCGGGGCCAAATTGAGCGAGAGAAAGGGAGACAAATGAATCCGTTTAGTTACAGAGCCGTGCCAGGCATCCAGGCTGGCTGGAAGACAACGGGAGACAAATGAAGGGACAAGGGAAGACATATATGAACCTGTCCGCCCAAAGAGCCGTGCCCCAATGTAAAGACAATGGGAGACAATTGAATCCGTCCACCCAAGAAGTCGTGCCAGGCATCCAGGCTGAGAGACAACGGAACCCGTCCACCCAGAGAGCCGTCCAGGCAGACACATGAATCCGTCCATTCAGAGAACCGTGCCAGGCATCACGGCGGGGAGACAACGGCACATGGCGGGAGACAAATGAGCCCGTGCCAGGCATCCGCCAGCAGGACGCGAATGAAGGGAGAGGGGCACAAATGAAGCCGTCCGCCCGGAGAGCCGTGCCAGGCATCCAAGCCGCAAGACAACGGGAGACAAATGAAGGGAGACAAAGCGAGACATATGAACATGCAGGCTGGGAGGGAGACAAATGAACTTGTCAGACGACAAACCACGCAAAGAGCCGTGCCAGGCATCCAGGGACAGGGAGACAAGTGAAGGGAGATAAAGGGAGACAAATGAATCTCAGACAGCCCAACAAAAGACAAATGAAGGGACAAAGCGAGACATATGAACCTGTCTGCCCAGAGAGCCGTGCCAGACATCTAGGCTGGGAGAACAAACCCGTCCACCCAGAAGGGAAACGAAGGGAGACAAAGGAATCGGTCCACCCAGAGAGCCGTGCCACAACCCCGGAGCCGGCGTTACAGCATCTGGCATCTGACCGCAGAGACTGGGAGACACAGGGAGACAAGCGGGGAAACGACCCTGGAGCCAGCGTCACAGCATCTGGAATCTGACTGGAGAGACTGGAGAGACTGGGAGACAAGAAGACAAGCGGAAAACAGGACCCCGGAACCGGCGTCACACTTTCCCATTCTCTATACCTCAAGTTAGAACCCAAATGCTTCGCTGTTTGGGGAAATACGCAGAAATGCAAGATACAAACAATACCTCGAGAATCTTCAAAATGCAAACAATTCTCCCCAAATCTCAGCAACTGTGGCAGGTACTGAAATTTGCAAACAAAAACAACCGCGATTGCTGAGGATTCCTGAAAATCCAAAACCATCTTGAGAATTCCAACATTCCCAAAGATTCCAAACACATGCTTGGGCAGCTAGAGTCGCTGAGGATTCGGAAAGTTCGGGAATTCTCGTTGGACATCTTGCATTTACTGATTTGGTTTTTTGGAATTTCTGGAATTCCAAAAAACTCGAAGCCCTTTGGGAATGTTGAATTTACTTCGGTGTTTTTGGGAACTTCCATCCCAATCATAGTTGCTGAGACTTTTGGAATTTTTGGTATTTGGGGAATGTTACAGTGTTTTTTTTGTGAATTGTCGGGAAGTCCAAAGAATCTCGAGTTCTTGTGGGAATGTTGCATTTAGTGTGGTTTTTGTGTGATTTTTTAGGGAATTCAAAACCAACGCATGTACTGAGGTCGTTGGGAATTTTGGGAAATTGGGGAATTATCGCATCTTTTTTGAATCTGGCTTTTTTTTCTTCTTCTTTTAAATTTTAGGGAATTCCCCAAGATCTCGAGTGTTGTTTGCGAATTTCCATCCCAAACATAGTTGCTGAGACTTTGGGAATTTTGGGTAGTTTGGGAATCCTCAAGTTTGTTTTTGGAACTATCTCCAAACGGGTAGCCTCCAAAAAGAATTACTCGACCTCTCCTGGCAGTTACCTTCTGCAAAGCTTAGGGTGCCTGCTCTTGCACGACTTTGCCCGAGCAAGGTAAACCAAGCGCTTTGGAGACTCCAGGCAAGGCGGAACCAAATGAACTGATCATTTCACAATCCTTTGATGTTTCAACCTTCTTGGGCGAGACAACCAACCAACACACCCAACCAACCACAATCAACCAACCACAACCAACCAACCACAACCAACCAACAACAACCGACCAACCACAACCAATCGCCCACAACCAACCAACCAACCAACCAACCAACCACAACCTACCACCCACAACCAACCCCCCACAACCGACCATCCACAACCAACCACCCACAACCAACCATGAGAAATCCTCAACACGTCTTGCAACATATGTCACATCATATGATAGGCTAGGGT